AATTGTCTACCAGTTGTTCCTCTCAGAAAGGAACACGAGCTTTGGGGCCAGAGCACCTGGGTATGTTGGCTCAGATGCTAGGAGCAAGTTTTCTTTTGGAGTTCAATGTTTCTTATATAAAATGTGCATAGTTGTAATCCCCACCCATTAGGGTCATGGTGAAGAGTAAATGATTTACCGTGTGTAACATGCTTAGAACAGTGGCTTATTCAGACCGGGAGCCCCAATGAGAGTTTGTTTCATTAACAGACAGCTGCTGAGAATTGTGATATCTTGTCTGTCCCCCCCACACAGGGCATCATTTCTTAACACCTGAGTGGTGAGTTCTGAGGCTTCCTAGTCAAATGGGTGCCTCCAGATGCCCAGTTCCTGTCATACTTTTACTCCATGGTTCTCTAAGGCTCTTGCCAAGGGGCAGCCCTTTTTCTCCTTTCTTCTGACCTTACTTAAGATCCTTAGCATCTCCTGGTTCCATATTATTTTAGTACCCTGAGGCTCCCATGACAAAGGACTGCAGGCATGATGATTTAAAACAGAAATCTATAATCTAGTTCTGGAGACTAGAAGTCCAAAATCCAGTTGTTAATAGGGCCCTGCTCCCTCTGACTCTTGCCTCTTCCAGCTCCTGGCGGTGCTGGGCTTCTCTGGTGCAGGATGTCGAGCTCTCCACTCTGCCTCCATCCTCACACGCCTGCTCCCCTTGCTGTGCATGCGTGTGTGCATTTTCATATGTTCCCATGTCTTCATTTTCTCTTCTTGGAAAGCCATCAGTTGTACTGGATTAAGGCATATGCCCCATGATCTCATTTTAACCTGAGTCTATCTAGAAAGACCCTATTTCCAAATCAGGCCACATTCACAAGTCCCAGGGGTGAGGACTCCAGCATATCTTTTGGAGGATGTACTTCATAACAAGTACACTCAAATCAGAGAACCTCAGTCCTTTCTTCTTGCTTTCTCATTTCCAATATACTTAATACATTGACCAAACAACTGGCTAATAGTCTAACAGTCTAAAAACATCCCTCAATGTGAGGCTTTGTGTTATGTAAAATTAAGTTATAAACTTATATTTCTCAAGTTAGATCAATTCAGATATTTCTTAGAATGAGAAACACATCCTTGCAATGTTTCAGTAGAGATATAATCAAAACCTTGGGGAAATTGTACAATCTTAAAGCTTTGGGCAACCAAACATCTAATTATGGAATTGCCTACTAAACTTTAAAATGGAAGCATTAGAAGTAGTTATGGCTTACTGGTAAATTTGAACCGTGGTACCAGTTTTGGGTTCCTCACTCTAGGGAGGTTCCATGCAAACTTCTGATGTCCTGTAGCCTCATTTTTCACTTCAGAGAAGAGAGCACATGGAAACATTTTTTGAATGTGTCTTGTGACAGCTTCCCAGGAAAAATAATGTTCCAGCTTTACAGAGATGGAATCTGAGTTTCCAAGAGGTTGGGAGGTTATCTCCAGGGCTCACAGGTGTGCCTGGATGCTGGGCACTCGGCTGCTTCTCCACATCAAACCTCTCCATTCATTGGTTAATCTCCTGTTCTGAAACACAGAGGGGTAGCTTTTCATAACTGTTTGTACATTCCACTTCAGAAGTCTCCATTTTGTTCAAGAAGTCTGGGGATACACATTAAATAATGGTGAGAGTGGGTGAATGGACTCTGGAGCTTCACTCAGGGTCTGTTTGAAATCATCCTTTGATCATTTTTTAATAATCTAATCTTCCCTCTTGCTCATGAAATGGGACTGCCCTTCCCTGTGCTATTTGAGATTAGGTGTGGCCATGTGGCTTGTTTTTTCTCAGTAAACAGGAACGGAAGTAACCTTTGGAACCTCTACCAGAAGTTCCAAGACATGAGAAGCCGCACACTCTAATCTTACTGCCCTGAGGTCAAGCAGGCCCAAGAGGAGGTAGAATTTGAACCTGTCAGGTCCCTGCGTAACTGGTGCGCAGGGACTGTTGGCCCTGCTTGGTGAGGAAAGTCTGCAGGGCAGAGTCTTCTAGTTTTAACCCACTGAGTTCTTAGAGATGTTTGTAACTGCTTCATATTCTAGCTCTTCGAGACTAGGAGCAAAACATAGAATTTGGAGATCCAACAAGAATCTCCAGTAGGAAAAATTATTTTGGAAATAAAGCTGCTGATAACAGAATCTCGTAACTCACCTACAACATTAAAATGGGAAGTCTAAAAATAGCTTATTGTGAGAAAGCTTAGAGGCCAAAGTTGTGTTTATGTCATAAGATGGTTAGATGACCATCTAGTTCTGACATTATTAATTTTTTTTTCTTCTCTACTTTAAACTTTGGCCATCAAGAAATACAGACCTATTGTTCTTGCACTAAAGGAAATAATTTGATATGAAAGGAAGGAGAAAATTTGTGGTTGAGAAACCGAAGGCCACATGAACAGTGACACCTTTATCCAGGTAGTCCTGGGGGGAACAATAACATGGTTTTGCTCTCCATTTCTGTTGCAAGAAGAGTGCATGTTGAAGGCAGATCTTCTATTACAGTCAGTATCTTGTTTCTGGCCTGTAACTGCTGCATAACTGGCTTTAAATAATGCTCTGCCTTGCTGGTGCTCTGGGTGTTGTTCTAGAAAGCCTTTGTCAGGAATGGCTTGCGCTTACTTAGATCTCACTGTCAGACAATAGACATAGTTATTCACAAACAAAGCCATGGTTTTAGGAACTGAGAGTGCTTGCAATTCGACAAGAGGAAGTTTTCCCTAGAATTTAATAAGTGACAATGGAATCGAATGAGTACTACGTGTCAGAAATTTGAGGACTGTAAAAAAATTGGTCATCTGCCATAAGTTTATACCGCCTACTTTAATCTTAAATCAAGGCATCTTGTTTCAGTTGACAGACTACTTTTGTTGTGCTGTTTACACATTTCTGTGATTTAAACTTCACGAAGGAATAAAGAGGCTTCGGGCTCAGCTGCTCCAAGGGTGATATACCCAGGAAGTGCTAATAATTGTCAGCCTTTCCTGTGCTTTTCAGCACGTGGTTAACAAGTTTGCAATATGTTAGCCTTTTAACAGTTAACATGCATCATTTTAATACTGGTGCCACGAATATCAGAACTAGTATCTCCCTTAGAAATTATCTTAATTTCTTGGCCTACCTTTCATTTCCTAGCAGGGAGCCTTTTTGCAAACATAATCATATATGGCATCCCATGTGTTAAAACAGGCTTTATTCGTGTCATGAAATTTTATAATTTCAAACTTCTTAAAGGATCACTTAGTAGCAGTGAAAGGAAATTTCAACCGGTGAAGGACTTATTTTCAAATGGCCTTGACCAAAGAAAAAAATGGTCTTGACCTTCATTTTGTATTTTGTATTGTTTGTTGAGTATGTAAAACGCTGAATTATATGATAGTAGCTGCAAATGGTAAAACTCTTTATTGGCTTTTTTTATAAGGTTCACCCTGAGTCCATAGGAAACTTTAGTTTTATAGGACCACAGAAAAGTTAATTTAGGAGCACAAGTTAATGAAATGTAAAACTGTTACTGAGCCTGAATGTTCCTTTTTTAATCCTAATGTTATGGAAAGAAAACCAGATATTCTCGGATTCTAGCACTCTGCACAGGACACCATCTGAAAACCATAAATCATGCTTTATGTGACATCTCTGTTGACAGACAGTGTGTGGATTCTGGCTAGACTATATTATTTTAAGGAAATTCAAAGATTGGAGACTATCTGAAAATCTTTCTCATCAGAAAGGGTTAAATTAGCATGAGTATATTCCCATGAAAGAAAATTTCTGGAAGCTTCAGAAATTAAAAGAAAAAATGTTTTCCATTTTACTCAAATTAGAAGTGTTTGTCAGCCCAGCCCACAAATTACGTAGCCAGTAAGTAACTGGAGTAGCAGTATTTAACTCGCTTAGGGTCACATGAATTTTTCACTTTGATATTTTAAAAGATCCTCATGACTTTTTCACGGCATTTAAAAATGCCTGATTTATTGTTTTGGATTGGAAACTTTCTACATTCCGCTTAGATGGACGAAGGATTTTTAATTCCCGGGCTGGAGAATTTTGTACCTCCACTGAAGCAACAGACCTGATCAGGTCCTAGTGCTAGGGAAAAAAAAAACTGGTGATGCCCTACTTTAGTTCTGTGCTGCTAGGTGTGGGATTTTGTGAAACTTTTCCCAAAAAAAGCAAACACATTTCGCATTCCTCTAGCAAGCTGGGTATTTAAAGAAACCCTGTGCTGAAGCGCTCCGAGCACCTGACCCTCCAAGGTGTGCTTGACTGGCAATTGAAAAGCTCTGGGCCTTTAAAAAGCAAGAGGACTTGACTTGAAGCCGTCATCCCCACTGTCAAGGGTACCAGCTGGCAAATCCCCCTGAAGAGAGACCTTCGTCTCTAATCAGCCGGTGGCTCCCTTCCTCTGGCCATCCTGTTGACTCACAGTGCCGGGCATTCCCAGGGAGTCATCTCAGCCGCCTGCCCAGCTTCATATGAGTGCCGCGCACAGATGATGGGCTGTATTCCACCACAGTAAGTTTAGGAGTAAAAATAAAATGACAGCATTATAATCCATGACTTCTCATGTCACTTCCAGCAGGTGATTCTAGAAAGCGAGTTCAGTCTAAGAATCACCTGCCTTTTTTGACATGGACTGATATAATCCAAGATTGTGTGTACAGAAGAATAGGAATTAAGCCCATGGATTCAAATTCTTAGCTCCTAGCTTCCTCATATAACATTACAGAGGAAGTAATTTCATGAACCTCAACTTGATTCAAAGCTTTCTTGTGTGAAGTCTAGTGATGACCCATTAAAGTATTAAACATGACTGGTGTGTTGTCGGTGCTCCGCTCCTGATGACTTTGAATCATTTTTGTCATTATTTATTTGAAATCTTATTATACCCAGGAAAATACTTCTAGAAAAAGTAAATCAGGAGAAATAAATCCTGCCAGCTAACCCCCTTTCTGCCCTCCCTGACTGTGCCTCTCCAGAGTGTGATAAACTGCGCCGAGATGGCTGCCGCAGCTCCCAGTTCTACTCCCAAGGACCGACCTTTGCAGCCAGCTGCAGCCCGCTCTGCGATGACTGTCAAGATGAGTCTGATGAAGCAGACCAAAAGGTACGTTAGCCATTCCATTCAGCAGGGCACCGGATTGGATCCCAGAACAAAGAAGGGTGTGAACAAACTGGCGAGATGAGAAAAAGGTTGGTTAGGAGAGACACTGCGGTAGTCAATGTCTTAAGAGTTTATTTGAGCAAACAATTTGAATTAGGCAGCATCAAATCTAGCAAACAGAAGAGAGCTCTAAGTGCTGTTCAGATGCAACACTTGTATCTGAAGAAGTGGGTGGGAACAAGGAAGCTACGCTAGGCACGCATGCATCAGCTTGGTGATGGCAGGGCTCCCTTCCTCTCGGGACGGCGGGGCCTGGCCTGCAGGTCCCTGCAAACATGCAGTTTATTTTTATTGTGGTAACATTGGGCACGGTATGGTTGTGCGGATCTGAAGAGACAGGATCCTGTCCCTTGCTAGTTTGTTAACTAGCGAAAGTATTTTGCTTTTATATACCAGCGAATGGTATATGTAGATTTATATACCATTAGTGATATTTATGGGAAACTTCATTTTTTCTTAAATATATCAACAACCATGTTGAATTCTGTTCAAATTTTTCAAAGGCGTTAGGTCTGTGCTGCCTTCTCTCAACAGCTTATGCTTAGAAATTGGTTTCAGGATAAAAATTATATCAAAGTACATAATTGTTAGTTATTATATATAAATAAACATCCACGAAGTATGCCATAGTATTAAGTCACTATGCGACCTGCCCCCCCTTCCTTCCTGCCTCTCTCCTCTCCCCTCCAACCCCACCCCTCACCCCCGGTTGCATTCAGCACTCTGTTAGGCTACGTCGTTCAATTTCTACAACTTCTTGGTTCCATGAAGCATCAAAAAGCCCTCCTGCCACCCCTTTCTATTCCATATGCAGTTTGGCCGTCTTGGAGCACATTCTCCATCTCTGTGTGTATTCAGAATTGTTGGATTAATTGCAATGCCCTCACCAGAGCGTCTGCTCCCCGCCCCCTTCTTAGCTGTACAGAGTTGACGAGATAGTGCTGTTTGCGGTGACAAAGGTTCTGAATGGGCGCGTGGACATTAACCTTTGTGTGTCCTGTGCTTTACCACCGCCAGTGGGCCCCTCACCCTGGCTCATGCTCAGGTAGCTTCAGGTGCCCCCTGGGGGTTCACTTATGAGTGCCCCACCCCATGCTTGGGGTACATGATTGGCTGCTTAGTGTGTCTTTCAGTTAGCAACCTAGTGAATAATGTCTGCTGAGTAAGTGGTCACCCCAAATCAGCATCTGTAGTAATCTCACTGCCACCACCACATTCCGATGATGCTCTGAGGTTTTGAAGTTATGCCTCGGTGGTAGTCATTTGGAATGCAGACACCTTCCTCATCCCTCCACCGAGTGCCCAGACATGGCTATTTGAAGCACAGAATTCCCACTCATTTATGAACCAAGGGTTTGTTGATTGCCTCTGGGTTGTCAGAACCATTCCTGGTGACAGAGCTATCAATGATGCGAGCAAAGGGAATCCTCGCCCTCAGTGGGTCTTTGATTTGAGGGTGAGATCCAGAGAGTAAACAAGCGATGGTGATGTCTTAAAAAGTGCTCCAGGGTAAAAGAAGCAGAACAAGACAGAGAGGTGCTTGTAACTTTAAAAGTACAGGCTTTCCTGAGCGAAGGGTGATTGGGATTTAAAAAAAAATCTTGGGGCTCTCGTGGCCTAAGAAAACATCTCAGTGCTATCACTTTTATGTCCCGAGATCAATGCCCCACCAGGTTGTTGACCCACTATGGCACAGCAGACCTCTCCTGTCTCACCTGCTGCTGCCCTCAGCTGTGCGTTTCAGTAAATCTGCCTGCTATACTCCCCTTTCTGTCTCTGGTGAGTCCTCTCACTCACACACACACCCCCAACTCTGGTCTGCACCCCACTTCTATGCAAAAATTAAATTTTTTAAAAAAAGAAAAGAGAACTATCCAGGAGAAGAACATTACAGGGAGAAGCAGCAGCCATTGCAGTCAAACAGGCTGCTCTGCATTCATTGAGTCAACAAATACTTGGTTTGCATCTCCAGCCTAGTCTGCCAAGCATTGTTGTATATTCTGAGGGCCAGAACATACCTGTTTCTATGTAACACGAACAGGTATCATGTAACGCCCCACCCATTAATGAGGGTAACAGAGAGTGAGGAACACGTTAGAGGCATAGGCTGCACTTTCAGACTGTTCGAGAAGGACCCGATCATGTCACTAGAGCTGGTCTCCAGTGAGGTGCAGGCACGCTGCAGGCGAGTATCCTGGGGGACAAGCTCTAGGAAGAAAAGCTGCCAAGGCTGGAGCTGGCAAACCAGTGATCCTGGAGGAGCAGGGGCAGAGACCGGGGGCCAGGCAGTGAGCACAGTAATGATGGCTTTGGGGAGAGAGCTGAGGGTCAGATCACGTAAGACCTGCTCCACCATGTAAGGGCTGGGAACTGGTTCTTGGGTGTGATGGGAAGGTGCTGGTGGAATTGAGAAGGAAAGCAGGTGACCTAATTTACTATTATTGCGTGTAGTTTCACGACTGCATGGAGACAAGGTCATAGAGAGTGGACAGTGGGAGCAGGGTGGCAAGTCAGCAGACTTGGTGATGATCCCGCAAAGAAGCCCGATGAGGGCCGGGGCCCATGTGACAGCTGTGAAGACTCGGGGTTTGTTTTGAAAGTGGATCCTACAGAATTTCTTGAAGCTATGTGGAAAAGAGGCATCAAGGGTGACCCATTTCCTGTCTCTCCAACTTGCGCCCTCTAGATTCTCACTATCGAAATTATTTGATCCCATGAGAAATTCCAATGCTTCGACCCTGTCCTTGCCACGAGCTTCGCCATCCTGCCCCAGCTGATTTCACGCAGGCCACATCCTCCCCCCTTCATAGCACACACACTCGGCTCTGCTGGCGCTTCCTTCTGTTTATTTCCTAGAGAAAACCCAAACCAGTTTAACCCAATTCTCTCGCTAACTAAAGCCTGGTTAGCTAAACAGGCTGGAGGCCAATACCAGGTTCTACTAGCCAGTCTCGCTGTAAATGAGGGCCCTCGAGTACTGCCCAGCGCTCTGTTCTGTCAATGCACCAGTTCCTATTCCACTTCAAATTATAGTTCTCAGCTCCTCTCAGATCTCCAAACACCACTTTTTCTGCTTTACTCTTGAATACTGTCTTTGATCTTTACTGTGCCAGAAGGAAAAAAAAGAATCGGAGGCGAATCTTTCCAACTACAAACGTACTAAGCTGCCATGTCTGCTGCTCTGCCTGCCGCTGCTGTCAGGCGACAACAGTCCTTGCTGCTCTTCTGCCCGCTCTGTTCCAAGGACCTGACCGCTGACCAGCACACTCTTATTTTTCCAGTGGAACAAGGAAGACTGACTTCTCAAGGACTTCATATTCACCGTTTACCCCTCTATTGCCTAACTGATTTTCTCTCGCTCTCTGTTGCATCATAACCTTCATCATAAAACATCCTGGATGTTCTTTCATCTTGAAGAAATCTTCCTTTGACCTTCATCGCCCTCCAAGCTCTGCTCAGTTTTCATTGCTCTTTATAATACAACTTCTGCAATGCACTGTCTAGACTTGCTATTGGAATTGCCTTTCCTTCATCTCCTTTGAACTCCCTCCAGACAAACTTTTACCCCAAAAAGTTTGAAGCTGCTCTTGTTAAGTTGCTGAAGCTCCTCTTGTTTCATCCATCTGTCACTTCTACCTTCCAAAATCTAGTGCTTCATTCTCAAATCTTTCAGCAACATCTGAATGGATTTCAGGAGAAAAATCACATAATAACCATAGAAACTGATAAGGCATTTGATATAATTTAATAGCCATTCTTGACTTAAAAAAATACTCATTAAGGGCCCCCTCTGGTGGCGCAGTGGGTTAAAGCACACCACCAAGAGGCTTAAGCCACCTCTGCATGAGTTCGATTCCTGCCTG